TGCACATTGCCTCCTATGTGTACCATTTGCCCAGCGAAGGATTGCACAGGCATTGTGTGTTTTGGCTGACGGCAAAACAAGTGCCGGGCATTCCGCCATTGGCGTTGCTTGGAGGTGATTGCGTCGAGATTTCTGCAAAGGTGATTGAAAACGAAGCCATTGGAGTTGAAGGTTCTGATGAATTGAATGAGGATGAGTACAAGATCCTCATTCGAGCCGCCTCTGCGATTGCTCGTAAGCGCAAGAACCTGGATTGAGCTGCAGAAGCATTGGCAAGAACAGCCGGAAGCATTGACGAGACTTGCCAGATTGTTTTCTTTTTTCTATGTCATGGATTGACAACAGGTTGCTCGGATTGAGCACCGGAACACTACATGACATTGCGGTTTTCTATTCACACCACAATTGGATTGCTGCGACGAACTGACGAACCGAAGGATTTTCATCCTGGATGACGGTCAGATTGCAGCCAGATTGTTCAGATGTACAGATGTGAAGTGATTGCCGCCTTCTTTTGCAAAACGAAGATTAATGTCATTCTTGAACTTTTGCTTGGTAGTTGGATTGTTTGATTGATCATGAACAACACCGTGGCTGTACTATTGTGATTTTCTCATGATTGATTATACAGATGTGATTGCTGACAAAACTGTCACAATCAAGGGACCGTGTTAGAGTACATGGTCAATTGCCCAGTCATTGGCAAGCCCAATTTCACCTACCAAACAACATGTTTGGCTCAAGGCTCAAGGCTCAAGACATTGAGCTCAAGACCTTTTGGACATTGATGCCTAGACTGGAAAAGTCCAGACCGAGTGATTGCATCCAGAAGCTGATTAGGATCTTGCTTGATTGCATACATGGATTGCGCATTTATTCAGCGCATTCCTGACGAGCTTTGAAACGTCCATTGAACTTTTCATTCAACACTTCAACCTTCAGCCCCTTCCGCCGGAGGGGGGCTTCTCAAGTCTTCTTCGACAACCTGGTTCAAAACCCCCGACCACCCGCCCCTGCGGGGTATGCTCTGCAGCTGCAACAAAAATGATAGATAGAGGCTTCACGTGACGCTTGTGTTTTTCTGTATTGCTTCCAACTTAGGTGCGAACCTGCGGGTGGCACTTAGACAAGACTCGAAAAAGCGTTCCCCACGACAACACTGGGCCACAGGCAAGGAACATTGACTTCCTGGGTGGTGTGGCGACAATGGCTTCATCAGTCAGAAGTGCCTGTCCACGGTTGAAGGCTGATGCTGGAGTGTTGTGCGCTAACTGAGCTTGGAACTTGCTGACATTGCGGCAAGATCGGTCCAAGATTGTGTTGATGACTTGCTGGCTCTCCTACCAAGCTGCTCTGCGGCACAAGCTTGGTCAATATGCGCTTTTTGGCGTCACTGCTGCTTGGTGGCGTGCTCTCACTGCTGATCTGATCTTTCATGTCCAATTCGTGCTTGGATTTTACTTGGGTTGGTCAGTCTCTTTGTGGAATCTTTGTAGATTACTGCACCTTGAACTGTCCTTTGTGCCCAGCATGCGGATGCTTCGTCGAGATGTGTTACCGAGCCATGTCTTGCAGTGCATTGTTGTCATGAAGAAAGCAGGGAACGCGAGAATCAATTCTGTCTGTTTGGTATCGTGACCTGTCCGACCGACCCCCTGCCACTCCGCTGCCATGCCTGCCCTGCACGGTGCCATGACATTTTCAGAGCGCCCTCTCTATAGACTCTATTGCTTGCATGCACTAACAGCGCCGTGCCATTTAGCTTTTGTGGCTTGAGCATGCATATGCACTTTTTGCAAACCGCACCCGCCCGCCCTTGCAAACAACATATGCAGCAAGCAGTCACGCCCTGACTCGATACCATCCAGCACGCCTTGCTAGAACAAGCATACCCGCAGGCGCTAGAAACCTAGCACGGCATGTCTCACACATAGGGGGTTCTCTGTTTGCCTGCGCTGCTAGGCTGCTAGGCAGACGGACCGCTACCCTGAGCAGCACCCGGGAAAAAGAGAGCAGTCTCCTTTTGCATGCTTGCGATGCCACGTGCTACATGAACGAACGATCATAGAGAACTGGGTTTTTTACTTTGGCGATTTGTTGGATTGTTGCACGGAGGTCGAGGGTCCGCGGCCTTGTTTTTGTCACTTTTCCATGGAACTAGCAGTTGCATTTTCTGCATAAGAAGTTCTTGGTGATTTATTATTTACAGACTTGGGTTTTCTTGAAACATAACATAATTCACTTCCGCCTCTTCCATCAAGCAAAAGGTTTTGTCTTTCTCCTTACAAATTGATTGGTGAACATAACATGTTTGCGTGTTTTTCCGTTCAATAAATATTCCAATCCCGCGTTTTCCAAAATAAGACATGAATGATTTAGTGCGTAGGAGTTTCGTTTTTGCACAAATTTCACTTCGCCTCCCCTGTTTGAGGTTTCTTGCCCCTTCTCCAGCAGGCGGAAAGTGTTAATTTTCTCCTCAAGCAAGATGCGGGAAGATTTCATTCCATCTTTGTTGTCTCTTCGTGTTTTAAAAACGAAAACGTGCAATGTGTTTCAGAGAGCGGGGGTTGGAGCCCCCTTTTGCGAACGTCATTGCCCTTCTTGAAGAGTCGCCCTCCTTGAGTCTCCCTTTTTGATCAAGCCCGAATTCAAGCTGATCAACCTGAATCCGAACCTCCCGGCAAGGGTTTGGGTTCGTGTCCAAACCGAAACCCAACCATGGCCTGGAAGGGAAGGGGAAGGTTTGGGTTTGGGTTTTTTCCGAACCTCAACCCTTGGGGAGGGTTTGGGTTGGGGTTGAACCCAAGCCCGGAACCCGGGTTCGAACCCGAGTTGAATCCGAGGGACAACCCAATGTCGAACCCAGGTTCAACCCAGATTTGACCCTGGGTTCGAAGTCGGGTTAAACCCAAACCCGGAATTGTTCCCCCCCCAGCCTCGGAAGACAACATGCCATCGGGGAAGCTGCATCTGCTGCTATCAGGTGCTGCTAGTCCGTTGAAATTTTCTTGCTGGATTTCTCTTGATGGATGGGGCTCATCGGCATCTTGCCGCAGCTTCGATTTCGCTTGCAGGATGTTGTTGTGCTTCTGCAGTCGTGCAATGGCCCGCAACCACACAGATCCTTCGATGTCACGACTTTGGATTCAGTCCGCGCCCTTCGCTCGTCACTAGAAAAAAGAAAAGTGCGACTGCTCAGTCGTAGCTTCGCGAAAACATACCAAATAAAAGCTCGGTCTTGGGCTAGAAGCTTCAAAATGGAGCTGGCAGCTCCTTTCTAGAAGCTCCAACTCGAAACTGCCAGTTTCAAAACGGAGCTTCCAAAACGAGCTTCAAAAACACAGCAGCTCCGTTTTGGAGCTGGCAGCTTCAACAGGCAGCCTCGCGGAAGCTCTGAGAGGATGGCAGCGCTACTCATTTTCGCGAGTTGTACTGAGACCGAGCATTCAAGGCCGTATCAGGGCCATGCTGCGTTCGCAGTCCGTTATCCCCGGCGAGGCTGGCTCCGCGTTGCATGTTCCTAGCCAAATATATGTGGTGTGCGACGCCGTTGACTACGGTGGCGACCACGCTGCGTGCCCTCAAACTGGATTATTCGCCCGTTGAGTGAAGCTCCTCGAGCACGCATGGGTGCGCATCGCGCGTGTTGCTGTCATGAAGCTGGTGCTACTGGTGCAGCCAGCGTTTTGGTGCGGGACCTGGATGTCGACAGGCGTGAGTTGCAATATCGCACTTATCCAGAACTTTGCAACTCCGGCCGCTGCCGCTTCGTCGTGCTGGGCATAAAAACAAATTGTATGCGGTGCGCACAAACTGCCACTCGGTCCGCCCCCCACCACTGCAGAGTGCATGCATTTCTGCCTGGGCCTACGTGCTTGGGTGGCCCGCCCTGCTCGCATTTGCTGCTGCCCCTGCCTTCGCGACCAGCTTCCTACCAACTTCCTTTCCCTGCCACTTTCCGGTGCATCGAATGTCGACGGAGATCCTCTTCTTGCTTCCCGGATTTGGGCGACCAGCATATGGCATAGGCACCGCGTGAACATCAAGGAAAACCCGCCCACCTCCACCATATGTGCGGTATTGTGCTGCAATCCATTCACGGCCATCGAGCACTCCTATCGGGTCGACTTCTTGCGGCTACACAGCTCCGACAGGTGCAGTGGGCACCCGTCCCTGTTCGGCACGGCGCGGGCATAGTCTATGGCGCCCCGGGTGGTTCTGCCCCGGTTGCGCAACGTCCGGCTCGCAGACATGAATGTCGATATTGCCCATGATATTGCCGATGTACGGCGCATCGAGGCTGTCACAAACGGCCTTCCCCTCATGGCTGGGTCCCTACCACTACTGTGCCGCTTAGCGACGGCTCGCCGCAAACCACATCAAACCTACCCTGAGCTCGCCCGCGCCCGGCGATGCCGCCTTGTTGTCGGCATCGAGGTTGGCGGCAAATTCGGCACTGAGACAATGCAGCTCCTGCGCCTGCTCGCGTGACACACGGCCGATGTCCGTATAGTTGGCCGCGATCATCACTTGGGTTGCGTGCTGGTTCGGACCTTTGGCCGTCGCAGCCCATCGCGCTCGTGCTGCTTTCTCCCGGAGCTGCCGCCCGATGAGCCCGTGCCAAGTTTGCACGAGGTCCTCGCTGACGTGCGCTAAGACTGGCATGGCGGCGGCCCTGTACTGTTACTCTCTAGCGGTGTGGGAGTATCTGTGACGCAGAGGTTTTTTTTTGCAGGCGCAAGCAGGCGCGTGAAGAAAAACGATTGCCCGACTTGAAAGATCGAGTGCTGCTGCCACCCTGCACAACGGCGTCAGCGATGCACGGGCTGCACCGCAGTATGCGCTAACCACGAAGCCGTAGACAAACAAGCAGTTCAACTCCGGCTGGCCCGCGACGGCCACGGGGAGTTATTCGCCACACCAGTGCCGACGTTGCGTGCCTTGCACAGGCCGGCCCCGGCCCGGCGGTTGGCATCATTGGAGAGCGTGCGTGGAAAAAGGCGTCAAGCCAAAGACGCGTGGCACCTTGGCTGGAAGCCCGCCGGGTTGTGCCGACACTGGCCCAGCTGTTTGCATGCAGGCGTTAGCCGTTAGCTCATGCGGCCTTTGCCTGCGCCGGAGGTACCGCCGCCTTACTGCGGGGTGGTTTTGCCCTTGCGGGTGCTAAGCGTGCTGGTGAGCGGATTCCTTCTCATTTTTCGTTTGAAGTGTCCTCAAAGCCTTCCACCTTCCCGACCTGGCCAGAACCGCACCACGGCCCAACGAATTTTCCGAGCATTGAGCGGGCATTTTCGGCACATGTTAACAGACGCGGGACTAGCCAGGAACCGGCCACCAACAAGCGCACTCTGAGGGGCAAATGCCACAGCAGCAAGCTATTTGGAGAGACTCCATTCGCCAATGCCTGCGGGAATATTCGAGGAGTGGTTCGGATTTTGGCGCCATGTTGGCCACGTTTTGCGTGCGGTCGCGGGAACAGTTTGCTCGAACTTAGTGTGCTACAGCACCAAACGTCCAACCAAGCTTCGCCCCCGGATGAGTCAATCTTAGTCAGGTTGAGTGGCATTTTTTTTGGCAGCCGAGGTTGGACAGTTTGGGTTGACAGTCATGCCGTTGGAAGGAAATGCGGACATGATTGTCGGCGTCTTAGCACATCGTGGCATGGTCATGGATGGGCATGCAATAGTCCATGCCGCTGTAGCATTTCTCGTCACGCCAGGTTTGGAGGCAAGCTGTTGACACAGAGCTTCGCTTGGCTGCACAATGGGAGGATCGTCATCGCATAAAGCATGGCAGCAAAAGTGCCAGACACCTTTTACTGGCAGGAGAGCTGGGGCTTCCTGAAAGAACAGAGCGCAAAAGACGAAGCCAAGCGACAGAAGGTCAGCAGATTCAGTGGGATTGTTATGCAGCGAGACGCAGTTATGGGGAACGGCCATAATTGCACGAAAACGTGGAATAGCTGTGGCTGTTGTCCCGAAGGTTGTGCTGCCAAAATTGTCAGACACGCTTATGCCCGAGTCGCCGCAAGCTACGTTGCAGACATTGTAGCAGCAGAGGTGTTTGAGATTCCGAGCTTATTGAGGAAGGGGTATGGCAGCGTTTCCGCGGCACCGGCAGTGTCAAAGGATTTTTGTTTGGCTTTGCTTGTTGTTCCTACTGTTGCTGCATGTTGCAAAAAGTTTGCTTGTGCAGGACAATGTTCACGATCTTCCGGTCAGCACCCCTCGTTTGTTCCTAGTCACTCACCCAGCGAGTTTCTGGATGGTGTCGATGGGTGCTGTGTAAAGTTCTGTGTGGCTCGTCCTGCAAGGCAACATCGCAGCAGGCTTACAAGCAGCGACCACCGATTGAAAAGCAAGAGCCCCGTTGCTGCCAGCTGCCATGGAGTATGGCTGGTCATTGTAGTGTCCCCAAGCCAAGGTTGCACATGAAGAGGTGGACTGTCAGGCTTGTTTGCACGCTGTTTCGGAGTTTGTGATGTGGGATTTGTTACTGTTTTAGTGGTTGCCGGCACGGTGTATCGTAGCATATCGTAAAACATCGGGAAATTGCAAGTGACCCCGCAAACAACATGTCAAATCCATGACACACAATGTGACTAGTAGACCGCAGTAGACCTAGAACCAGCAGGCGCGATCCGGAGCTTTGGCCGACCATTTGTCCAGCAAAATAGCTGATCTGTGGACAAGCAGACCGACACCAACTTTTATGCTCGAAGCCCGAGGTTGTTTAAAGCATTACTGGCTTAGGGCGTTTGTGTCTCAGAGAGACGCACATGTGTGAGGGAACGTGTTAGGCTGGGAAAACTCGTGGCAGAAATTTCCTGCTTCCCCAGCCCTATGGCAAGGTACATGTTTCCCTGGATGCAATTACAGCAATGCTCGCGAAGGGCCCAAGGCACTCACGCTGCTTGCTTGACAGATTACCCGTAGCAAATTTTAGCATCCTCGTGTGCCGCGAAAACATTTCCTTTGCAAGGCACCGCACTGGCATCGAGGGTAGACTGTACATTTAATTGAGGCATGTGGTCCGTGATGCTGAGATGCCAGTGTTGTCTTGCAGGAGATAGCGAGATACCGTGGAAAAAAATATTGAATCAGCAAAGGGGATGTGAGATCATGTTCGCTTGCACACATTTCTTGAATGCCTATTCAAAATCTCAAGCGGAACATCACACACCGAAAGCACAAGCCGCAGACATAAAACTTTAAACGTTGTAGACATGTGCCCGTGACGGTCCAAGGCTTAATGCTGTCAATCATGCGTGCATGAAGGCGAAAGGGCATCACAAAGAATCACAATCAGGTTTCGCATTCAGGTGTGCTCCATTGCATGCTGCGTGATCCTTCGTTTGTGGAGCCACGGCATCACGATGCAAAAGAACAACTTGAGGTCCTGCAGTCATGCACTTACGTTTCTCTTAGGATTAGTTGTGTGCATCTGCGCGCACCTGAGCTCTCGCTAAACATCCGGCGTGAATGTTGACTCCAGGCACTTGCTTTCGGAACAACTTCCCGGTATACAGGCTTGTTGGCAGGCAGAGCTTTTTGACTTGCCAGTCCATGTTTGAGCCATTGTCAGCTGTTGCGACATGCCCGGCACGGTCGCGGACTGGCTGCTGGACGACGATTTGTCGGCGACCCGAAAATTCGGGGATGCCGGGAATTCACGAACGAAGAAAGAAGTGGGCGATGGTAGAACCAGGTACTGCTCCTTTGATCATGTATGCTCGCGCAAGGCACCTCGCGAAGAGGTGTTGCGGGACAGACCCCTCGTGCCGATCTAAGTTGGCTTCAACCTTTCAACCCAACTACAATGATGGGGTCCATGTCCAGGTGGCATTTCAACACATCTTCTCCCAACGGATGACAAGCTGCTGTGCTGCGCACACGTCTTAGAAAAGAATTGAATAGCTGCAGTTGCTCCTGCCAACTTGCTTGCTTTCTGCTTCACACAAGTTTGCTCATTGTTTGCCGCTTGTCACTTCTGCACGTGCTTTCCTCTGTGCCCCAGACAGGTGCATGGCTCCAGTGGGCAGCTTCCGAGATCTGCTTCAGCAGTGTCTCGATTGCATGTTCAAGTTTCTCGCTTCAGGCTTTCGCAATTTGTTGGCTGTACCGTACCATGTAAGCAATTCAGAACGACTGTGCAGAAGCTCTCTCGGGTCCGCTCATTGTCCTGGAATGAGGATCTTGGGGAATGCTGGTTGCACACTGGAGCCGGCAGCTTGAAGCTGAACAAGACACGCTCTAGAGGACAATTTTCTGAGGTCCTTTGGCGTAGACTCTCACAACCTTCTGGGCCGCACGCTCTGGGAGTGTTTGGTCGAGTAACCGTTCAACATTGCCATGCAAGGACATCCATGCCTTCGTGGCTTGGCAGCTGTGCCCTGTGATACGCAAGGTGTGATGGCCTGTTTTGTGTGCAGGGAGCATCAAGGAACCAAACAAGTGTGCACATTTTTATCGCCAACTCAGCATGCCCATGTGGTTGCCGCCACTTTTGGCTCAACCCCGTCCATGACGAAGAGGGCTTGGCCCAGAAGCAGCTTGCAGTCCCATGCGCTCGATGGCATGATGGTACTGATGGTGATCGCTGTTGGTAGCTCCAAAGCCGCTATCAATCAATGCGACAAGCCTTGTTTGAATTTCCCATAAAAATACATGTATCACAACCGATTGCTCAACCATCCCAGCTTGCACAACCAAAACGTAACCAAAACCGCCCCCGGCACAACCAGAACAGACCGACTAGACAACCAAGAAACCAAAATCATAACCAAACTTCTCGCACCCGCTGCCTGGGCTTCGCTTGCCATAGGTCAGCTTAGGGTATTTTGTTGATCGGGTTATGTTAGGGTGGGTCAGGCTCGGGTGTAGCTTGTGTCGGGGTTAGGTTGGCGGCATGGGGTCAGGTTGGGGTCGGAGTGCCTGTGAGGCTGCCGTGTAGTTTAGGTTTGACCGGGTTATGTTAGGCGGGTTAGTCTCTGAGTGGGGGGGGGGGTTCCTAAATGGGAGGGGTTTCGTTTTCATGATGGGTTGGTTAGGTTAGGTTAGGGTTAGGTCGGGGTTAACTGTTCGGTGTTTGTTCAGGTTCGGGTTGTAGGGGTTTCGTTTGCCTCGGATCAGAGTAGATTGATTCGGTTAGGTTAGGGCCAGGGTCAGAGTTAAATCGAGCTGAGTGGTTGGATGATGCACCGTTCGGGTTAAGCAATCGGCTCCTTTTGGTGGGGCATGCTTCCTGTCATGGTCGGCTAGGCGGCTGTTTTGGTTGCTCAACCGGGCTTTTTGGTTGAGGGGCCGGTCACTTTGGTTGGACGATCTGTGCTTTTGGTTGTGCATTTTGTTCTACACAGATACATGCTCCTGTGGTCATGTGAAGGCAGCACGGATCCATGTGCCGCAGGGGCCGGTGCCCACCGACATAACAACACAGCCAAAATCCACAGGGCCATGGAATAGATCCGACGCAAACGAGCTGAAAGCTGCAAGCTACACAGGACCGTCCGAAGCTCGAAGCAGGCTCCAAGCCTGAATGTTTAACAGTTCCGATATGCGGGCTCGTCCTAGCTAGGAGGGAGGCAAAAAAAAACAGTTCCAATCCACAGCCCGACACCTCAGCACACGTGCACATGCCCGGCGACGAGACTCTTTCAGCCAGCAGCAGGGTCAACAAGATTCCAATCCTGTCAACTCTTGCGAAGTCGGCGAGCCAGGATGCAAAGCTTTGTTTTGCAGCGAGAGGTGCCGAGCGCGGGGCCCGCACACATGACTTCCGACTCAAAGAGGGGACTCACCAAGTCTCCAGGGCCAGTTCCATGGGCTGTTGTGAGGCAGAAGAGGTGTCCCGTGGGGCGCATCGTCTACTTTGCTGTGAGCTACATGGTGATTCAAGCCGGACGAGGCGGAGCGGCTGAGCACCGTCCGTCTCCATCAGATTCCGGTCTTTGTGCACTGGCTGGGTCGGATAGAGCCGGATCTGTGGCATCGCAGGTCCTGGATTTGCTTCAACTCCCTGGCTGGCCACTGAGTGAGACACCTCGGGGGGTGCCATCCACTTCGTTGGAAACGTGCCCGCTTTTCCAGGCAGCTTGTGCGCACTGTCTCTGCCGTGCAGCCCTGGCTCGAGAGAGGGTGGCCTTGACTTTTCCGGGCATGAAGCGACCAGCGCAGAACAGGCTCGCTTTCAGCAACACGGAATTTGACCTCCTGCGCCTCCTCCTCCTCCTCCTCGCCCTCCTCCCTCCTTGTCCCCCGCCTAACGGCAACAATGGCCATGACCATTGCATGAGGTGTTGCATGACGAGTAGCTGTGATTACCACCAGCACTTGTTCTTTGAAGAGTTATGTGGTATTACGTGGTTCCGGATGGAAGAACACGCAAAGTACAGACAAGTAGTAACTAGCAGTGCCACTACAGTAGAGGTGTCACTTGTGCTTAATGCTGTCGTGCCCATGCCGCCGAGCGGGCGGGAGACGTTTTCGATTTAAGTTACAAGAGCATGGCCGACCCACGAACGTTTCGGGAAACTCGGGCCGTCTTCTATCATCCGCGTTCCACGTGAACAGGGGTTGCAGTCTGAGGGCATCGCAGCCAAGTCAACGTTGAAGGAACCATGGCACGTCCAACGCGGCCCTCCTCTCGGTGCTGCGGAAGATACCCAAGGGGCAGACGCGATCAAAGATGGAGGTCCGGAGCCCCTCTGGGCCGGCCCCTCCCAAGTTCTCTTGGCACTCGAAGTCATTGCAGGTTTTCCGACAAGTCTTGCAAGAGCTCGGTCGTGGAGATGAAGGTATTGACACAGGCAGGCACACTGAGACGAATAAAAGGTCCACGTCGTATTTTCTGCGGAAGGCATTCGAGCTCAGCTAGGCAGTCAACTGCAAGCAGTGGTCGCTCAGCGGGCTCATGGCTGGCACCGAGTGGTGAGTTCTGACGGAGGTTTCTGGAACAAGGAGATGACAGCATCCTGCAGTTTTGGTCATGTTTTCTGCTTGGTTCCATTCTCAGTCTCAAGAGGAGCAACTGCCGCTTCTCCAAACCGAAGGGGCACGGCCAAGGCTTCCAGCTTTCCGCTTTACACGCTGGCCACATCTCGCATTGTTTGCCGAGGTCTGGTGAATCTGTGCTTTCCTGGGCAGGAAGGTGCAAGGCGATATTTGTGGCTACTTATCGTGCTTCTTCGGGCCGGCTTGCCTTGACGTGTCATGACCCACGCCTGATGCCCAGCCACAGACAGAGCGGGGTGACGTTTAGTGTTATTTTCCGTTGTCGTGGTCTCGCGAGGTGTGGAGAAATGGCAGCCTGAAGCTGTGGAGCCACTGCATAGCAAGGCTACTCTGAAGGATTGCACGGAGCAGCAGCGGAGCAGCCGGCGTCCATGCATTGAATGAAAATTGAGCGTGTTGTCAAGGAGCGCCTCGTGCTCTCGGGCGGCAAGTTTTTTTTCCATCCGGACATCCCAAAGCCGCTGCCTCCCGCCTTTCCACGCAAGCGTTCCTCGCAGAAGAAGCCGCCTGGTTGTATGATGTTGTGTGACTTTAGTATTTGACGGAGAGACCATGGACTACGACATGTTCCAGCGGGCCCGACAGGCCGTGCAAGACCTTCAAGGCAGCAATGAAAATGGACACTTGGACAACAGAAAGGTTCCTAAACCCTTGTCCCAGCCTCTGCGTGCACATGCATTGCTAGCTTGCGTGGCCAAAGAGTGACTTCAGTTCAGAGAGGCTCGATGGCAGGTGCGGCCGAGACTGCATCAGGCCTTGGGCGCCGCCGAGTTTGCAGAACTTCAGCGGACAGGCTCCGGTGAAGCTTGGTTGTTGCCATCGCTGTGCAATATTTGTCACTGGAGGGGCGGTGCGACTTCGCAGTATCTTGCATTCCGAGGAAGCGAAGGGGAGCAGGAGGGAGGTGCAGACGTGGGGACACGTGGGTCGGGGGTGGAAATGCAGGAATGTGCAGAGTTGCTGGACTTCGCGTCACGCGCCAATTTCCCGGATGTGCGCCGCCTCGATGGGGAGGCACAAGATCCCATAGACAGAACGGCAGTGAATCGTCCAGCCCATACCAAGGCTGGTCGAGGTGGTGCTTACCACTTTTGCGAAGGGAGTCCTCCACCCCTTGTCGAAGCAATCCGCACCTCGTTGTACGCGGCTCTGCTGACAAGCTGAAGCTTCTCGATATTGCAAACGCTGCCATGCCCATGTTGCACATGATGCCGTCTAGTCCAATGGTGCTGAAGGAATCCATCCTGGATCATCTGCCGTCGCTGTCGCAAAGATTCGGCAAGAGCCTAGCAGATCTGGAGAAACGATGCCGTGCTGCCGGGCAGCCAGCAAACTCAGACTTCGGAGAGCTCGTCCCACATGCCCGCGATTTTGCTTGGACGGTTGTCGGTCCATGAGCTATCGAGGCGACGTTCTGCAACCATTTTCTTGGCATTTGGCGAGGATTGATGCTCATTGCATCTTCATTCATAGTTGCCAGAGGCTTGTCGTGCATGATGTCTGCAGCCTTCGTGCAGGGTGGGGTCAACCTGGCGCATCAGGACGGGTCCAGAGAGACAGGTCATAATTGCAAGACAAAGTTTTCATGTGCACTAGCAAGTTATGTAGGAGAAACATGTTAATCGGCGTTACGGTGACAATACCTGCCCGAACCCGTCAAACCGACCCAAACAAAACAAAAAGCGCAACAAAGAGCACGAAATCCCGAACATGATAGAGCATATCGCTAGGTTTTTTTCGCGTGACCTGCTTAATGGGCTTCAAGCATTCCGAACAGTCAAGAGTCAAGACAGCACTACATCAGTGCTTTCAGCAGGTGGACTGATGCGTTGATGAATCCACCGGTCTTCACTGCATGATCTTGATGCTTGGATTTGGATCTACAGTACTGAAGAGTGGGGAGGCCGCGACGAGAATGGGTCACATTTGTTAAGGAACAGCATGTCAAGTCTTTCAAAGCCAGCCACCGTGCAGAATCCTCATGTCTGGAAGCATGTGGCGTGCCAGTGTACAAGTCCACGCGCCGCCCGGCGCATGACCGACCGACCGACTGACAGACGGACTGACTGGAACTACCCGTATTCGATGCATTCACTCGATCGGACAAGAGTAGGGGGGCACAGTTGTCGGAGATTCATCGATGTCCCAGCTGAAGCCCCACTACAGGTGAGATTTGAAAAATCCGGAATGTAACCCTGAAGCTGCACCGACGAGAGGCATCGGACTTTTGCCTGTAGTTGTACAAGGTTTTTCACTTGTGAAGCGGTAAACATCCAACACAGCATGCAGGAAGCCGGTGGCCGTTTTGGACAAAGCCTTCAGGCTCTGGCCAGGGGACACAATCTGATTTAGACCAGGCAGGTTGGGTCCAACCAAATGTGTGTTCGTGAGCCTTGAGGGGGGGGAGGGGTGGGAAGGTGAGATCTCAGAACGCTTCTTATGCGGAACACGTTGAATTTGCAGAACGCTTGATTTCTTGACCACCTTTTCCGAAGCCTGAAGAAGTTGCCTGAACATGTACAGTTCGAAGTGAGCTTTGTCCTTCGCGAAGTTTTGTGCAATGGTGGGGGCAGAGTGGAGTACTCTGCGAGACATCAGCCAGGTTTTCGCTGAACGAGTTTCTAAAGTTTTCATCCATGTGGGAAATTTTTGCTTGGCTGCAAATTCTGCTGAAGATGTTCATGAAATGCTTGATGATACAATGCGTGATTCATTGTCTGTTGAGGACCGGCACACGCTTGCTGATACTGTTTTTCAGTGGTGCGAGCAGCATCGAACAATGGTAGGCAAGACCGTGCGAGGTGTTACGGACAAGGTGCGGCAACATCGGTGAAAGTTGGGATGTCGTTCCCAGGGAGTTTGTGGAGGCCGAGGGCGTCGCTAAGTTGGTGCGGCGCGTGATCCTTGAGTTACCTACACCTGGAAAGAAAGATGGGGTCTGGGGTCTGAGCAAGTCCACCAAGCTGGTTCTGCGCGAGTTGTCGAGTTGTCGCTTTTCTGGTCAGGGCACTCCCCTAGGCATTTTCTCCCATCATTGGCAGCAGCGCTTGGCATCGACGAGAAGAGAAGGGACTTCTTGGGACGGTGGGCCGCGGCTCGCCAAGGCTCGACTGCATATGTCCTGACAGCACGGCAAATCATTCAGCAGATTCAGGGCGAGGTTTGCAAGGGATTGCTTGTGGGAGAGCCGGCGCCGGGTTACATCGAGGAAAAACTTCTTTTTCACATGAAAGCCTTTTCTGAGCGGCATGGCATTGCTTTGAGTGCTGTCAAGCGTCATCATGTTCTCGAATGGTGCCCACTGACTTTGCGCTGGAGTCTTCAGGGAAAGTATCCGGCTTTCGACGTGGATCCCGATGCTAACCAGCAGGCGGTGGCTAGGACGTGGAGGCTGCACCTTACTTCGTGGTGGTAAGTAGAAGTGGTCATCGGCGTTTGCATCTTTCTCACCCTTGTGCAGTGCGGCAGGAGCGCTGCCTACAGACCATTCCGTTGTATGGGATCAATGCTGATTCGGCAGATGCCATTTGCAAGTTGTGCACTCCCCGCTTACAGGAGCAAGGGGCGATTAGCAGTGACTCTGCCTCGTCGGACGGGCCCGAGTCTTGAGTGAAAGTGACGGGTCTGGGTTCGTTCGGGGTGTTCGGTTTGGCGGGTCTCCTCGGTTGCTGTCGGGTTGTGCTTGTCTTGTCTTCTGTGCCACGCTGTCGGGTTGTGCTTGTCTTGTCTTCTGTGCCACGCTGATTGAGCATCAGATTGAGAAACTCAGCTTTCGGTGATTCCCACCGCAGGTGCTGAAGAGTCAGATCATAAGTGAGAATCATTGTGTCAGTGTGAGAAGCAAGTCAGTGTCAGATGACCTGGAAATCTGATTTCGTGGTGTAGGGCTTCGTTTTAGGTGCCAGGGAGCATGGAATTGCCTGATGGAGTCACTGACGAAGCTGCACTCAAGTATCTTTCGACAGAGGTTCATGCTGAACTGGCGCACATTCTTCAGGAGTCTGGAGTGCCTGTCGGCCTCCAGTATCGCTTGACTCAGTCTTTTAAGACCGTCCGCAGGTTCCAGTCTTATGAGGACAATCGGGCAGGCATCAGGGATGCCCTTAAGCCTTAAGACTGGTTTTTGCTTGGAGGCCAACTCCTCTCTCGAGAGACGGGCAGCGATTGCAGCTGTGATTAGTGCTTGGGAAGCTTGCCAGCAGTTCGCGGCAAAGGAGCAGGAGTTGCGCGCTGAGGCGCGGGTCCGCGGGTTCTGGGAGTGGCGAGGCTTGTCAGTCAGACGGATCGTAGCGCAATGAGGGCCGCCTTCGAGGCGACTCACGGTCGTCTCGAGGATTCCTATGAACCATCAGAAGAGTATATCTCTTCCAAGATGGAAGAAATTGAATCCCACGAACCTCAGGCTTCTCCGCTCTCTGAAGTGACATCACGCAAGACGGCAAGGACTCAGGGGATACAGACTGCAGTAGATTCCTCGGGACACGTGCGCATTAGCAGCTTCTCCAATTCGCTTGGCCCTGAGGCCACGACCGGTGATCGAGTGAGCCTCGGAGGTTTCGACACCTGTCTGGTTTTCACCACGAGCCGGTTCCTGACTAAGTAGTCAAGACGCCCTCGGCTTTGCTTTAGTGCCCGCAGCTTTCATCTTTGCTTTCCGTCCACCTCCAGCCTCCTTGTTTGCGTGTTTCCTAAAGGCTTGCCAGCGAGCCTTTCTCTGGGCAAGGCTAGGGACGGACCTCTCTTAGCATCAAGCTCACACACACTCTCCGGCAGCTTGTTTCTGCGGACAAGCACCCCACACCGAAGGCAACGATGAACAGCCTGGCCCGCGGTAGCTCCGGACTTGAGGGTGTACGAGCCATACGCATCAGCCTTGCAGTTGATGGAATGGGCACCCTTCCAGGGCTTCTCACAGTATGCCTTGTACATAAATTCCCATCTCCGGTCATGGGCCTTGCGCGAAGCCTCAATTCGCTTGGGGACCATGTTAACATTCACCTTTTCCTCAGATCCGGTCCTGAAGTGCCATGAACCTCTTTGTAGTGCTTTTTCTTGAGTTCAATGCGAGCATGAAGGTGCAGCTCATGAGTAATGACGAAATTGCACATTTCGCACCGATGCCACGTGTCTTCAGGTTTACAAGACACTAAGTTCACCCAAGGCAGGCCAGAAAACAGGGCGTCACTAGGCTTCTCCTCAACAACCGCTCGAGACTTCTGTCTGGCACAAACGGCTTCAATCCTGGCCTGCTTAGCTTTGGCTTGGTCAGCTTTGCTTCGAGCCTTCGGGGTCTTGGGGCCAGGATCGTTAAGGCGAGGCGGGTTATTAATGCCATGGTCAACCTTAAGATGCTGACGGCGAGTTCCTGATGCCCGCGCAGGATAGGGTGTTTGTAAACACTGTAGTTACACCCTTCGACTTCGCACTGCCACCACAGAGTTCTGCCAACGCGGGCAGCAGGAGAGGCTGGGTGAGCTTCAAGTCTGGGTTTTTTGCGGTTCCCACTGGCAGGAACCGAGGAAGAAACATCAGTCTGAGGGCCCTTAGAGACACGCATGTGATGCGATGCCAAGTTTGTGCCAGCAAACGCAGAGCTGAAACTGCCCCCGGCGAAGGTGTGCAGCGAAGGAGTAGGCGCGTCAGAGCAGCTGCACGTCTGAAACTGCGAGCAGAGCCGCTTGCTGGAGGTTCGGCGCCTGGCGGGTTCCCGGGTGTAGGAGTGTAGGGAGGGTGTGGCGTCCGACCTTGCTTCCTGCAGTGAGTCGACTCCGGGGCCCTCCTGAACAGCGGCGCTCGCCGAGGAAGCACGATTCGTGAGATTTCGCTGGTGGGTTTCGGAGTTCCATGAATGCAGCGAAGGCACATCAGAGGCGGTGTTTTTGCTTCGCAGAGATGTAGCCCGGGATCCTGGCCCGCTTCCCTGCAGGAGTTTGGGGTCGGGGATTTCTGTCTGACGCAGCCAGCTATCCGGCACCGTCCCTTTCGGCAGAGGCTGCAAGAAGGTATAATGGTTGTCTTGGAGAATGAGCACGATGGGTTTGGCTCCCGCAGCCATCCTGGGAAGACCGCCCTTCCAATCCGGGGCCAAGGTACATCTTCTCCAAGCTGTTTCATCTCTCGCCCTGAACCAATTGGAACGCCTTTCTTTTCACATGCGGCATGAAGCTGGATACCTCAAACCCAAAACGTGGGTTCCGCAGCATCCGAAAGGAATCTGTGCAGTTTGCATTCTTGGGTAGGAGCGTCCTCCTCTGGGGCAGTGGTTGCATCTTCAGCAATCCAAGGGGCGTACTCGGCAGCATGTCTCCTAACATGTTGCATGCAGGAGGCTCGATCGGATCCTGGCCCTTTCATTTCGTGTCCTGCGGCGCCTGGTGCCTGAGCTCACTACGCGATCTACTTCGTTTTGGTTTCTCCTTCCCCTCCTTGCCTTCCTCAGTTTGGGACGACGGGTCGAGTTGAGTAGGCGGGGCCTCTGAGCGACCGCGCTCTTCCGTCCTGGACTGCGGCTCGGTAGGCTTAGTTTTAGATTTCGTCGCGGACGACTCGGGCTCAGATGGCTCAGCAGTTCTGAACTTGCGCTTCGGACCGGGCACAGTCACCTTCTCAAGCAGCTGCGGGGTCCTGGGGGGGGGCCTTGGCAATTTGAACGAGCGCTTTAGAGGCCTGAGTATCCTCGTACCACCATGGGCCGTCAGTGTTCTCCGCGGGCGGCAGAGCTTTAAGAATCCAGGTGTTTCTTCGTTTGCTCAGGATCTCAACCTCTTTCCACTTTTGCGAGAGCAGAAAACTCTGAACGGAATCAGGGTCCCATGAGCGAGGCACACCAGTAGCTTGAAACACGCCCGGCTTCTGCGGTGGGGTGTCCGAAGGGAGCTTAACCAAGCCCAAGTCTTTCCCGCCTCCAGCTCGGAACTTCACTCCTTGACGTCTTTCTTGGGCCTTGGTGCGGATGCGGCGAAGGTAAGACGCTTGGCCCTCATCCTTCAAGGGATCCCGCCACAGGATCGCTTCGCTTCTGGCATTCTTCCCCGTGATGAAGAAGACTCCTTGATGCCCGCTGCGGGCATGGGCAGGGAGCATCCTAACGTACCCGACTAAAACTGACGAGTTCTTGTCGGAGTTCCAAGACCGGTTCCCTCCGGTGAACTGCGAAACTGGAATTGGCCCCCCCCAGGAGGCAACTTCTTTAGCGAGCTTCGCCGGAGAATCGGATTCTCCTTGATTCAGAAAGCGGTTTCTGTAGGCCTGCGGCGCAGAAACAAACTTCGCAAAGTCATTTTTAACAGCTGGTTTGGGCCACGTGCAGTCGTCTTTGGGGCCTGGGGCCCACAACACCACATGTTCCAAGGAGGTAGCGCTCTTGGTTCTGCGGACGGTGACCTTAGCGACAGTTCCCTCGAAAACCTCAGTGCTGGTTTGCGGCGCGACGACGGTGAGGGAGCGTTCGCAAGACAACGACTTCCAGAGGTCTCTAAGCTCGAAAATTTGTTCAGGGGAGTGCAGAATGAGCAAATTGCCCTTGAAATCCGCACCATCACTCAAAGCTTTAAGCACAGCAGCTTTGGAAACCGTTTCTGTGCCGCGGGTCCACTCTGAGGCCACGACGCTGTGAAAAGCTGCGGTTGGTTTGAAGGTGTCCTTGTTGTAAACCTTCTTAGGCGCCTGTGGCCACCATTCCCAGTTTTGAGTGTTGGTCTGGTTCGTGTACCACGCGTTGGTTCTGGTCTTGGGGAATTTGTTTCTGTTTCTCCCGTTCCACCAAATTTGGCCATCCCAAGTTTCCGAATCTTCCCACATCTCATCACCCGCCCTGGACCACCAGCCCGAGGCAGGATCAACGACCCAACCATCACCGTCCCAGGCACCATCCCAAGTAGGCTACGGGGGAATCTCCCAGTCGGTGGGGGCTTGCTCGGGCCAAAAATCCGTAGCAAGCATATCGAAATCCTGTTCTTCGTGTTGGTTTAATCTTCTACGCTTGGTTTTCTCATGATGAGGCGCAATGCTAGCTTGAGGAGCATATCTCCCCATGGCTTCGCACACTGCTTTCACGATGGAGTTGAATGCAGTCGGGCTGATTCCTGTTTTGTATTTCTGGTATCTCACTCTCCTGGTACGACTAGCCCCAGCCGGTCCAGGATTAGAAGCTTCGCCAACTCGCGTGGCCGTGTAAGGACTCCACTTTCTCACGATGCGTTGCACTCGCAGTCTGAGGGCGCGGCTCCTGCACCTCAGACGGGCACCTTTAAGCCTGCGACTTCCCGCAAAACGACACCTAAGGAAGCGTTTTCGTGGCAGCGTGGCTTTGGGAATCCTAGGCAACCTTCGTTTACGCACCTTCCGTTTGGGCATGCAAGACCGAGCCCTCGAGTCAGGAAACTTGCAGCGCACTCATCATTCTTGGTCCTGTCTGCATCTGAGGCCCTGACGGGTAGGAACCAGAGAAGGTTCACGCACGGCCAGCACAGCAGAAGAAACAGGAAAATCGTCCAAGCTGTTGGAAGGTCAAAGGTGTGGTCAAACACCGCATCGACTCTACAAGTTTGCCACATGATGGACACAAGCACAGAAGCATGACTGACACCATGGTAGACTGAAGCAATGGTGACCAGACTGACACAGAACGGACGCAACACAAGCCAGACAAGCTCATGAGCGACCGGCACAGAAGTGCAAACAGGAAGACCGTCCAAAGCACAAGAAGCTGCGTTTCAAAGGACTGTGAAAGAAAGAAGCTCTCCCACATGCGGTCAAACCCGAAGCTGAAAGCACAAGTCTGCCACAGACATATAGCAGACCAGAAGGCACATCTGACACGGGAGAGGGGTTAAAAAAAACTAAATAGACATCAAAAAAAAACTAAATAGACATCAAAAAAAAACTAAATAGGCATCA